CCTCAAGTCCCTTCTCCCTGTGCCTCAAGCCAGCTGCATTTTGTTTCAGATCTTGTCAGAGCGAGTTGGGGTCAGTGGTGATTCCCCTTGTTGTTCCCTAGACACCATCTCCCCTGAAGATCTGCCGAGGCAAGGTAAGGGGAGGGAGGTCCTGTGTTGCAGCAACAGACTCTTTTAGTGAAAGATGGGAGGGGGTCCTGGTTACTTAGTACTTCCTTGGAGATATGGGACTTCTGGTTCCAGGAATCCAAGCCCTGGATTGGAGGCACATCCATTGTCTTTTCTTCTATCTCTGCTTGCTCCAGCTCTCAGAAGGGCGGGGAGAGGGGTTGTTGAGAGAGCGTGCAGGCTAACAGGCTGTGTGTATTTCAGCGGAGCTGCTGGATGCGGTGAGCCAAGCTGCTCAGAAGTACCAGGCACTGTATATGGGGACCCTGCCCGTCACCAAAGCCATGGGTGAGGACTGAGTGGGCTGGAGGGAGTGGTGGGCTGCTAAGGCAAGGGGAAGGTGGGTGAGGCGGGATCTACCAGCTTCCCAGCGTGCTTCCATGGCCCTGTATGGCCTGGATGTACCACCTTTCCCAGCCCAGGATTCTAAGCCCGGCCCCAGGTGTTCTCTTCTCATCTCTCTGAATTCCAAGACACGGAGAGGGGCCTGACACTCCCTGCAGATTCCTTCCTTCTTATGTCGGGGAGACACCACAGTGGGTATGTCCCCCCAGGAATGGATGTGCTGAATGAAGCCATTGGTACCCTCACCACCCGAGGGGACCGGGATGCCTGGGTCCCCTCCATGCTCAGTGTGTCTGACTCTCTCATGACTGCACACCCCATTCAGGTACCAGAAGGTGACGTTGGGCTGGGGGGTTGGGGGTGGGGTAGGGATGCTGGGTATCATGGCTTGCTCTAGGAAAGAGCTCAGTGGGTCCACCTGCGCCGAGCCCTCTAGTGACTAGGCCTGGTGTGGGCAGGCAGAGGCTGAGGCGGAGGAGGAGCCGCTATGGCAGTGCCCTGTGCGCCTGGTGACCTTTATTGGTGTCGGCCGCGACCCGCACACCTTTGGCCTCATTGCTGACCTGGGACGTCAGAGCTTCCAGTGCGCAGCCTTCTGGTGCCAGCCCCATGCAGGGGGACTCTCTGAAGCTGTGCAGGCTGCTTGCATGGTGAGTTAGGGGTGGGATGGTGGGTGGGGTGGCCCTGCAGCTGCTTTGTACTGGTGACTGGGGCTCAGGATTGGCAGCCTTTCCAGAATCACAAATCGGTGATACCAGGGTTGACCATGATTCTTAGCATTTTATTTGGCCCTCATGCTCTTCTGAATAAGTTTTAATGAGTTGCCAGGACATTTCACACAATAATTGCTATTCTTGTTGTTCTTAAACTGTCAGAATCATGCATACATTTCAGCATTGGGCTGGAATAGTGTAGGGGCTGTGCCCTATCAGTTGGCATTGTCTTTCCTTTTTTTTTTTCATTTAGGTTATTTCCTGGTATCTGTGGGCATTTAAATGTGGAATGCTCTCACTCTTCATTTTACTCACTCAACAAATATATGAATGCCTGCAGGGACCATACCTGACCCTGGGAATTCAGTGTTATAGAGGGCATGGCCTTAGGTTAAAGCAGAGACAGACCAGAAAGAAGTTGTACACTACAGGATAATGGAGGAGAAGGTCCGGTCAGGGGTTCAAGAAGTCTACCTGTAAGAGGTGATAGGAAGTGGAGAGCTGAAGGTCCAAGGAAGAAGTTAGCTACGTGAGGAGGAGTAGGACAGAAGGTGTGCCAGGTACAGGGAACTCCAGCTGTGAAGGTGAGAGATGTTAGTTAGTGTATCTGAGAGACTAGTGTCTCTGGAGTGCTAGTGGGATGGAGTGACAGATGGGGGCAGAAAAAATGGCAGAAACCAGGTCATGGAAGAACTTATAGGTCAGGGGGGATGAGTTCATTTTGCCCGGAGGCATTCTGAGCCATTAAAAAGTTTTGAGCAGGACAGTGAAATCAGGTTTGTAGATTAGGAAGTCTACTTAAGCGATAGTGTAGGTAAAAGATTTGGAAGACACAAGAAGTAGGAAGACCATTGAGGACCCTGCTGAATTCAAATGAGAGAAGACTAGGGCAGTTGCATGGGGAATGGAGTTGAGTGGAAGACCTCCTTGACTAGGGAATCCACTCTGCTAGGGGCTAGTCCGAGAGAGAGAGAGAGAGAGAGAGAGAGAGAGAGAGCGCGCATAGTGGTAAGGTGACAACATAGTGGTAAGGTGTGGTTAAGAGCACAGGTCTGCAGTCAGACAGACTAGGTTTGAATCGCAATTCTACCATTTTTTGGCTAGGTGACCTTGGGAAGTCATGCATTCTTTCTAAATCTCAATTTCCTCATTGGTAAAATGAGGATAATAACACCTGATAAATAATTGGATTGTTACATTATACAAAGCATTTAGCACAGTGTCCAGCCCCCCTTAAATGCTCAGTAAATGTCAAGTGTTATGTGTTTGTTCTTGAGCTACCTGGGAATGCTGTAGATGTGGTGGACCACGAGCCTCATATCAAACTGAAACCTTGGCCAGTCCCCTGCCCTGCAGAAGTGCTCAGGGAGTCCGAGGCAGAAAGGAACTGGATCCTCACGTACCCATTCTCCCTAGGTTCAGTACCAGAAGTGTCTTGTGGCTTCTGCATCTCGAGGCAAGGCCTGGGGTGCCCAGGCCCGTGCCCGCCTGCGACTCAAGCGGACCAGCTCTGTGGACTCCCCAGGAGGTCCCCTGCCTCTCCCCCTACTCAAAGGAGGGGTTGGAGGTGCAGGGGCTGCCCCTCGAAAACGGGGCATCTTCTCTTTTCTGGATGCCTTTCGACTGAAACCCTCTCTGCTCCATATGTCCTAAATGGATCTGGGAGGACCGGGGTAATGAGGCTCTGGGTCCATGCCCAACTCTGTACCCCTTCATTCCCCAGGGACATGCAGCCTCTCACCCTTTGGAACCTTCTCTGCCTGTCCCTCCAACCTTGTGCACCCTGTATATTTATTGCCCAATTTATTAATTGTTTATATGGATAACTGAGAGGCCCTGCACTACATCCTAGGACCCTGGCTCTCCTTTCCCTGGGTCCCTGTGTTCCTTGCCAGCTTTGGACAGTTGGCTCTACCTCAGCAACACTTTATAGCAAAATAAGTACAAATAAAAATCCCTCAGTGACCTCACTGAGTGTGAGTATACTGGGCCTGGGACAGGGTTGGGGGTTAACCTGTGTGAAGTGGGTGTTTGTGTCTGTGCTTGGTGTTGGTGGCTGCCTATAGTCACATGAGGGCATGGGTGTGATGGAGATCTGACTTCATTCAATAAATATATTTGCTAATGTCTTCTGTATCCTAGGCACTATACTAAGCATTGGGGATAAAATAGGATTTCCACTTTCTGAGACTAACAAGGAGGAAGAAGAACAAAACAGAAGATAGTATATAGTACAACTAGGAAATCTCAGAGGGTGTGGGAGCTCAGACGAGACACAACCTGGCCTGAAGCAGGATATACTAGGCTTCCTGATGAGTTGATATCTGAGTACTGAAGGAATTTTGTACTAGTAATCAAACCTAGAGTATATGTGTAGAGGCAGTGGTCAGAGGTGATGTTCTAGAGCAAGCATGTCAAATTCAAAGGCTAACATGGGCCAAATAAGGTTTAAGTTTATGTGGGCTGCAAAAAAACAAAAGCTTCAATTTTCATAGAAACGTAGGTATATTTCAATAGAGACACGCTGAATACAAAGGGCTGAAATAAATGAGTAATTATTAACATAAAATAAGAATTTTTAAAAAAATACTTTTCTTGAACATTAACTTACCAGACACTGAATAGCTGCACAAATTAATAAGCATAATGCAAATAAACCTATTTTTCTTGTTCTCTGAAAGCAAAATATTTCCTGTTGCGCACACCAAACAAGTCAGTACAAGACTAATGACGTGGCAATCGGCTGCTAAAATATTTGCTGCTAGTATTAGTGGAGAGAAACGGTGCACCGGCACGTAAGGCGTGTAAGGGAAATGAATCCAACACAATTATAGTCATCAGTCATTAGCGAACATTGCAGTTCATTATTAATAACTAGAGGCCTGGTGCACGTGCACCGGTGGGGTCCCTTGGCCTGGCCTGTGGGAATTGGCCTTAACGGGCTCTCTGACATCCCCCAAGGGGGTCCTGGATTGTGAGAGGGCAGTTCTCAGGTGAGGCACCCTGGAATCCGGCTCCCTCCTCTCTGGTTCTGGGTGCATCAGCAGAGAACAGCCCTGCCAAGGCAGCTCCTGCCTTGAGTGTCTGCCCCCCTAGTGGTCAGTGAGTGTCATGGCTACCAGTCGGAGGACAGTCGCTTAGGCTTTTGTATATACAGATTATGTATAACAGGATATTATAAAAATTAAGTTATGAAATTTTTATTAAAACATTTCTTACATACCATTATATTGGCCAGGCCGCCGCGAGTTTGACATGCTTGTTCTGAGTCTCCCTGGCTGGGTCCTAGGGGAGCATGGGGGCGGGCTTCTGGCCGTTTAAACCTGCTCCTGAGAGCGCCCGTGAGCCGAGAGACAGGGTAGGAGGGCTCCGATAGCCCGCCTCCTGGGAGACAACCGCATTAGGTGCCCTGAGATCAAGGCCCGACCCTTAAAGAGCGGTACCGGTCCCGCCGCGGCTGGTGCCGTCCAGAACGGCCGTCCGAACCGGAGGTCTCCCGCAGCCA